TGGCTGGCAAGGCCGGAGCCCCAGTGTCTGTGGGGCTGTGGAAGCGCTGCCGAGGGAAGGCGAGGGCCAGCAACACCTGGGAGTCCTGGCACCTTTCGTGTGGGAGCAGTCGCTGGACGGTTGCAATTTCAGAGCTGGATTTTGGCTAACAAAACCTGAGTTTTCACCTCAAAGCTGTTAGCTACAGAGTGCACATGCGTCTCTGAAGCTGCATGTTTCCTATGTAAAAATGTTTGAAAAGCTTTTTTATTTTACTCAGAGAGGCCAAAATGGGCTAATCTTTGGAGGACACCTCCCTCCCACCCCAAGGCATGTTTGCCCCAGGCCGGCCTGCAGCACCTCCCACGCAGCCACCTCGAGTTTCCAGATCGCTGACGGCCCTCTCCCTGCCCTGGCACACCTGTCCCTGCGCTCTCCTTGTCTCCTTTGTCCAGTTACGCGGCTCCCGACCACGCGCTCTCCAGCGATTCGTGACCCGGCGGACTTTCTTCACACTGGCCCTCCGATCCTTCTGCACACCAGGTGTCTTACCTCAGTTTCTACTTTTGAGCCGCTTTTTTTCTGCCAGACTAGACCTTTTTCAGTATCACCGTTTGTGACTGATGTCCCTTCTCTTCTCTTGACTTCCCTTCTACTGCTTAAATGTTTTTGTGATGTTTTTATTTTACAAAGATTGGAACTGTAAGGCCCAGAACAAGCCATGTAAAATGTCACTGGCGATTCCTCCTCCTCGGCATACATCTTTGTCAACTACTGCGTGCACCTGCAGGTCAGTATAAATGGTTCAATGTAATGGTTTAACACACAGATGTATCGACGTGCGTCTCTGACACTTGCCTACGCGGAATTGTACATCACGGATGTTGAAGTGCTTGAGTTGCTGGCGGGGTCATGTTTTCCCCCCAGGTTTTACGGTTTGAAGTGTGTCCCCTGTGAAAGACGGTGCTCTTCTTTTGTATTCCATCCCAAACCCATCTGAAACAATCCCAAATCTGTCCATTTTCTGGGCGTGCCCCAGGGGCGGGTATGCTTTTTCTGTTATTCTGTGTGATTTAGCTTTGGTCTGTCCTGATGGCTGTTGAACTGCTTTCAACTGCAATCGCACGTTTTCTTTCAAATTTCTGTGTGCCACGTTTCCAGGAGACAACACAGGGAGTCTCAGGAGAAGCCTGCCGTGACCTGATGGCTGCTGAGGTAGAAATCGGGCCGTA